ATACTATCAATGATGTCAATGGAATTTATAAGTTTTTCAATATCACTCTCCTTCACTGACAACGGGGCTTAGACAAGTGTAAATTCCCGACCTTGCCCAAACTCGGTATATTTGTGTCTTATCTATGTTGATGACGACTGACGGTAGTATTTTTTCCTGAGTGTCAATTTCTAGTGTACTTTAGGGGAGAAAACAATGGGAAAAAAATTGGATTTGGGCCAAAAATGACGGAAGGAGGTCTTAGATCGAAAAGTGTCAGAGGAACTACCCCCCCCCCCCCCAAAACCGCTCATTTTGAGTCAGAATGACACTTAATATTTGTACAAAAGCAGAAATTTGTATTTTGTGAAATTGTACGGTTTTATAGGGAGTTTCGGCACATGACTCTCAGGAAAAAATTTGGTCGGCATTCGTCACCTACATGGAGAAAAAAAACAAATCTACCGAGTTTGGGCACGATGGGGAATTTACACTTGCCTAAGTCCCCTTGTGAGATAGGACTTGACTCTTTTTACCATCATTGACATATCGAGACATGTTGACTTGACTCTTTTCACATGATGAGAATTTAGAGTTAAGTTATTGGTAAATTGGCAAAAGGGGCAAAGTCAACTTCACTTTTTGGAGGCGGAACCGCAAAAAGAGCCAAGTCAACTTTTCTCTAAAAGCAATTTTCATGGACCTTAGAACAAAATGAAGCAATTTACACAAAAATCATGCGCAAGCCAACAGTCTGATCTGATAATACTGACATGCGCAAAGTTTGTCAACAGGCGTGAAATTAAATCACCAGGGAGTTTTGTTTTCAATCCTAGTGTTACGTGTTACCACAATGAGTGAAGTAGCACAATATATCACTACACAGAGGGAACAACAGATCTGTTGACTTCGTCGACGAAGTGGTTTGTCACCTACCAATACCAGATAGTAAAGATATACCTTAAAACTTGATGCTGGACACCTGACAGTTAAAATAATGCTTTTATTGGCTGAGCGATTAGCGAAGCCCATTACTCCACTGACCGGAAAAGTTTCATTCTGTTTGTTTGTTTGTCTGTCTGTCTGTCTGTTTGTCTGTCCGCACGATAACTCGAGAAAGAATTGAGAGAGCGATCTGGGAATTTCAGGGTCGTTTTGTATCATTGGCTGAGCGATTAGCGAAGCCCATTACTCCACTGACCCGAAAAGTTTCATTCTGTTTGTGGGTGTGTTTGTGTGTTTGTTTGTTTGTCTGTCCGCACGGTAACTCAAGAAAGAATTGAGATAGCGACCTGGGATTTTCAGGGTCGTTTTGTATCATAAAAAGACAGATCGAGTTCGAAGATGAGCATTCTAGCTCAAAAATTGGCTTTTTAAAAAATCAAAAACTACAGGTCGCAAAATGTATTTTTATCAAATATTTCTTTATGCGTTCCTAAGGGGTAACTCGTCAAAGTAGAGCCCTATGGGCGAAAATTTCGTCCGTTTGGCTCTACCCGTGAGAAAAGGATTTGCTGCATACTGTATGGACTGTGCCTGGATCGTTGCTGGCTGCGCAGATAATCACCAGGCCTATTCCATGGTGTTGTGAGTGTTGATCGAGGTGTCATGCAGCTGAAATCCAGTCGACATTCAGTTCGTAGCCAGGCGCGTTCGCCGTGCTTTACTACGGCTGAGTCCCGCCTGAGAGTCGACTGGGATGTAGCTGTATCTGGACTGGATATGGAACAAATCCATGTCATCCTCAGAACACATCCAGGGCAAATCCAGTCGATACCGGAGCAACTCAAAGAAAGAAAGAGACTGAAAATCAATTCGCCTGCCCGGTGTCGAACCTCCGACCGTGGGACGACAGTCGGAGACGCTATCCACTGGGCCAGAGCGGATCGCTGGAGGCGGCGGGCAGCGCACCGGTGTCGTTCACTTGCCAGTCGCCGCTGGACACCGCTTGCTGCTGCCGCAAGCCGGAAGAAGTGTGCCGACTGGCGAGTGAACGACACCGGTGCGCTGCCCGCCGCCTCCAGCGATCTGCTCTGGCCCAGTGGATAGCGTCTCCGACTGTCGTCCCACGGTCGGAGGTTCGACACCGGGCATCCGAATTGATTTTCAGTCTCTTTCTTTCTTTGAGTTGCTCCGGTATCGACTGGATTTGCCCTGGATGTGTTCTGAGGATGACATGGATTTGTTCCATATCCAGTCCAGATACAGCTACATCCCAGTCGACTCTCAGGCGGGACTCAGCCGTAGTAAAGCACGGCGAACGCGCCTGGCTGCGAACTGAATGTCGACTGGATTTCAGCTGCATGACACCTCGATCAACACTCACAACACCATGGAATAGGCCTGGTGATTATCTGCGCAGCCAGCAACGATCCAGGCACAGTCCATACAGTATGCAGCAAATCCTTTTCTCACGGGTATCTTGTACCGTTTAGGTGCTAGGGGGCAATTCTTGGCAAAAATGAGGTGAAAATGATCAAATGGTCGATTAAATCGTTCAAAAGACTTCGAAAAATTGTGTATACACTCCTATTACCCCGTCTTGGGTGTCAGCGCCGCAGGCCTAGCTAGATGTGCGCCAGGCGCGTCACAGCGTAACAGTGTTTCGTGAGATATCGCGAAGCCCGCACTGTTATTCAAGTAGGTTGAATACTCATCCAAATTCGGCACTTTGGGTGTGTTTTCATCCCTCAGGTGTGAATACTCATCCAAAAATCTCGCCTTCCCCCCGGGGATGAAAACGGGCGCCCCGGGGGATGCTTCCCATGCTCCCCCGGGCGCTGCATACCCGTCCCCTCGGGGATGAAAATCAGGCGCCCCGGGGGATGCTTCCCATGCTCCCC